GATGATACATGACCCACTGAATAACTATACATCCTGCACAATCCATATCACCATAAGTATATTATATCTCTATATACAGGGTCATTATTTTAAAGCAGAATACTCGATATATTATGTACTCAATATATAGGAAAGTCATTCACTATAATTACAGCTACTATAACTATATGTAGGGTCTGAGCGGCATGTGATAGAATAATCACCCTGTACAGAGACACCCCAGACGCTATATCGGTAGGTACTTACTCTTAAAATCATCTCTGCAGGTCCAAAAGTATCTTAGACACACATACTCACCCTCAAGCATTAGTCTTCTCACCGAACAAAGCTGCGAAGACGTGTGTGAGTGAAAAATCTGAACCAAACTCAATTTTCCAGGGTGCTGACCGGATCGTTTGACAAAACGGCGCGGATATGGTCGCTGGACAACGGGGGCGAATGCTTATGCACCATGCGTGGACATTCAGCCGAGGTAGTCGCGGTGGCCGTTTATCAGCCCACGCAGACAATAGCCACTTCGTCAATGGACCAAACAACCAAGCTGTTCAGCAGCGTTACAGGTCAGTGTTGCTGCAGAGCCTGTAAATTGTGCTAATAAATTAGCAATTTATAGCTATCATGCAAGGAGAAGCCACGTCGTGGACTAAGTTATTACTTATGATAAAGGGCCCGGATAACTCTTGGACTATTGGGATGCAGTTTTTACGGATTAATAGTTTAAGCACTACTGTTTCCTTCCACAATGATAATAATATTATCCTATAATTTCCTTATAAAAAATCTTAATTAACTGTCACCCTCACCTCCCACACTCCTACTAAAGAAAATAATAAAAATACTTAATTTGTTAAAAAGAAAAAAAACACTGAGATTTGAGAATGCCATGCTGTATATTAAAATATAGATGTTAATTTTTATTAGTAGATAGAATCTATATATAGTATATATATAGTATATCTAGTACAAAATCCAACCTTAGGTGGCTAGGTAATTAACGTAATTATTACGTATATAGATAAATAACTATTAACTATTAGTWGGAACACCTCTATAGTCTATACGCATGTTTCATCACTGTTCACAGGCCAAAACGTTGCCACGTTGAGGGGACATAATGGCGAAGTGGTAGTCAATCAGTTTAACGGTGATGGGTTGACGGTGATCACTGGTTCATTTGACAACACAATCAAAATTTGGGATGTCCGCACTTCCAAGTAAGTTGACGTCAGTAATTGGTTGTATCGATGGTTAATCAGTCGCGTATTTTCAATTTTCTGGGGGTGGTCCAATARTTCCAACATARTATAGATAAGTGCTGATATTAAGAAGTTTTTTAATAGATTATAAGAATAAAAAATAGTTGTAATCTTAAAGTACAAAATCCAAGCGTCTTTTTTTACAAAGTTCATCTAAAATGTCTCTTGATAAGAGAGTCTTTACTATAAATGGACATATTATCAGYGTTTTMCCTAAATACATTTAGTTCGTCCGATCTATCTTGAGCCAAACTCATGACCATCTTCAGATCAATATAGATCTTTTGAAATTGTTTCGAAAGTGATAACCAAAATCCAAATACTTTTGATGTTACATACAATGCTATAATAAATTCTGATTGTAAATTCGAACTTCTCTTAAACTTTGTGTTTTATGAGAGGTGTCAGATATATAATCATTCCATTCAGAAATTATATCAAGAGCTTCTACAACGCATTCGAATAGTTCCAAAACATCATTTATTGAATGATATCAGCTGTATCCACAGAGTTTCACAACTTATTTTTAATGATCTTTTTGATAACACATTTTCTGATTGTTCAATAGCCAATGAAAGCATAGTATAGTACTACGGATAATAATTGACTAAACTGAAATAATAACTATTATCGACTATCGGGCGGGCGATACGGTTTTATAGGATTATTTAAGATTATATCTACACAAAAATTATAACGAGATATGAATGGTAGATTTTCGGAATAAAAGAAGATAACCAATTCATAATATTATATTACGACTCCACGTGGAGCCTCATTGATTACTTTCTTCACATTTAGCCAATAAAATAATAATATTATGTTTTAAAGGAACCTTTTCGTCACCGACTCGCGGTCCTGTCTCCTGTGCGATACAAAAATGTGCCGCAGTCAAAGTGTTAACTATCTATACTTCTATAGTTTTCAATTTTCAATTWAAAAAATTACCAAAATATGCAAAAATATGCACATTCAAATTTTAGATCTGATATCGTGGCACCGAGAAATAAATTTATTTCGCACTTTGCTATATTTAACAATAATTAAACAAAGTATGCAAATGCTACAAGTCCCTAAGCCTATTAATGATCAATGAATCTATATTTAATACTGATACAATCATTATTTTTAGGATATCACATAGTTTATTTTTGTAAGATTTAAAATAATAAAAATTATTATAAAAAATCAAGGTTCCTTACTTTGGTGGTCATTTAATAACTTCATCAATATTTATATCTTTTGTTATTTTTTACATGCTTTTCATTAATTCGCAATGTTTCATTTCTGTTGTCATCAAATCTTGCGAGTTTAATTTAAATCACTTCTACATGATCTAAGAGGCTAAAATTTTGTATGGAAGTATAGGGTCGGTGACAATACATGACCCCGTTGTCAATTATTGACTTGGACAACCAGGTTTTTTTTAAAAACATGCTTTTCTTAATTCTACTTAATACATGAAC